GAGAATGCCAGAGAAAGTCCCCTATGGGAGCGTCTGTTTCTGGCTGGGAACACTCTCGCATCTCCCAGCCAGCAAGCCTGCTTCTCCTGGAACTTACTTTCTCTCCATGCTGCTGTGTCGTTTGCTAAACAGAAAGCTGGCTCTCACTCTCACAGGCCCTCACACTGAAACATTGGCTGTAAAGGAACAAGCCGGAGGCAGCAGCTGTCACTCACTCAGCACCCAAGCTGCAGACAAAGCAAGGCCCCGACACACCTGGTCACTGCTTCCCAGATTCACCTCCACGGAACCCCTCTCTCCATCTCTGGCCAGGGCAGCCCCTCAAGGCGCAGCTCTGTGGCCTGTATGTTTGGGAGCCCTTGGCTTTCCCCCTAACTCAGCAGCACTCTTAGGAATAAGACTTAGCCAGGAGCAGGCTTGGACCCAGAGGCAGGCTCCATTCTGCAGCCATGTGCCCCAGGAGGCTCTGGCCACTGCTGGACACAGGCCTGAGTCGTCTGTGACCTCGTGTCCTCAACTCCATCCCTGCCAACCCACGTGCACAGCTGTGCCTGCTGCCATCGCCACAGACGCCCCCACCCCATCGCTGCCTGGCCAAATTCTCCCCACACACACACACAACTTCTGCCCTCTCCCTGCAGCCTTGGTTTGCACAGGGAACTCTCACACAGAAGCAGGGGCCCTCTGGGAAGGAACAGGCTCCCCTCACCTGCAGCCCTATTCTGCCTGGCCTATCTGTGCCCATCTGAGGAGGGGTCAAAGTTCAGAACAGCACAAAAAGGAGGAAGAAAACTCCACTCCCACTGCCCTGCCCCTGGCAAGCTGGGACAGGCAGGGTGTGGAAGTGAAGACTTGATGGGGACCTAACAGAGCAGTCCTCCTTGGTATAGCCATGCTTGTCTTCTTGGTCAGGTTTCTGATTCCTCCCCAGGTCCCTGTGTGGCTGCCAGCAAGGCCCAGCCTGCTGTTTCGCTGCTGCTCCTTCAGAAGCACCTGCAGCAGGTGGCAACTTCTCCCAGCTCAGGTTCAATCCACACGTGGCTCTATTTAGTACACTCCAGCCACCTTGCCAGTGCCCTGCACCAGACACAGCACAGCTCTTGAGTTGGATGGGCCAAGCCTCAATCCCTGCTCCCAGTCCTGATCTTGCTTTGCCCCAGATGGATGCACCAACAGAACCCAGGGATAAGAGGGACGCACACATGCCCACGCTGAGAGCTGTAACACTAAGAGCTGGGGCTCCGGGGCTGGGCTAGGAACAGGCCCATTTGCTCTGTCCTCAGACTTGGCAGAGGAGAACCCTAAAGCCCTTGGGTCTTCATTTGTGAAGGGCAAACCTCAAAATGGCAGCAAGGAGGTAACTGCCCATGACTTTTTCAGGCCATCCTGTGCAGCCCAACACGCTGGCACGACCTCCCTCCAGATGGCCCAGGCCAGCTGAGCTGGAAAGGGAAGCATTCTTGGGAGCGGCGAGGGAGCAGGCAGAAGGGGGCAGGTAGAAGCCAGCAGGAGCCTCAGACGCAGCAGCCCACGCAGGCAGGCACTGCGTTGCTGTCCATGCATTCCCCCTGGGTTTGTAACTGGCTGTGTGTGGCTGTGTCAGCTCAGCCCTTCCTCTCTTCCTTCCTCAATCCAGATGCTCCCTGAGGGGCAAATGCAGGCCCTTAGCTCCTGCTCAGGAGTGCTGCTTGGAGAGCCGTGACCTTCCTGGCCCACCCTGCTGCAGGCCCCCTGGCCCAGGGCCCAGTGAGAGGGGCCCTGCTTTCCAGCTAAGCAGAGGCCCACACCCCCGAGAGGCCATGCTCTCATGGGAACCTGTAGGGCTCCCCACGGGCCCAAGCCAGCTGCAGCCCTCTCTCCTCCTTCCCCTGGCTTTTCTGCAGGAGCAGACTCAGAGCGTGGGGCTTGTTTTGCACACACACTCTGTTCTTGGAAAGAATTCAGTGTGTGTTTCTGCTGTAGCAGGACAATCAGTGTGTAGTCCCTGGTTATTTTCTGCTGCGCGTCAGAATTCTCACTGCCAGGAAAACAACAGGTAAGATGGGAATGACACCCCTTCCATCTGCAGGGATGTCTCCTCCCATCACCTCTCGTGACCAGGAACACAGTCAGTGTGCTTCCAATGCACTCACACACAATCCACACCCAAGGCACTTTAGGTAAGATGCCAAGAAAGCTTGGTGAAAGGGGAGAAGATATAGTAAATGAGCCCCCTGAGCTAAGACAACAACATCACCTCCTGTGGAAGACCCAGAGCAGCAGTATAAGAAGCTAGAACTCAACCAGGTGGCCCTGGGAGTCATGGCAACGCCCTCCTGCCAATGCAGGGACCCCAGAACCCTGGCTTCCTAGAGGGGCTGCCCAGGCTACCTTGGTGTCTGGCAGACCCCATAGCTGACCCCTAGGGCCCCAACTGGCCTGCCCCAAGCTCCCCAAGCAGGGATGCCAAACCCCATTCACTCACAGGAAATATTGGTTCGGTTGATCTCGACTCAGTGCTCCCAGCAAAATGGAAAACCCTATGTGCTTCAGCAGGTATGCCTTGGTGACCTCAGATGGGGGTGGCCACCTTCACTTGATCATGCCACACATGATGCTTGCCTGTCTGCCATCAGCGGGGACTGGACATTCCAGTGGGGGACTGCCAGACTCGTGCTGGACGGCATAAACCCACACTCCACTGCCTGCAGCCCAGGGAGTGCCGCGGGAGACCAACCATGCCAACACAACGCCTTACTGAACAGCTGGGTGAGTTTCACCTGTTCACTTGGTGAATGGGATCCAAGGCCAGAGTGGGGCAGAGCTAGCATGGGGCACCCCAGCCTCTGTTGGCCCCAGCAGCCCCAGCATTGGGAAGTGCCAAGCAATGCCTCGGTTCAGTGGACCACAGACATGCCAAAGGCCTCGGGCCAACCAAGGAACCTGAGCCCAGGTGCAGCCTGGCCTCAAGCCCGCCCCCCACATCCTAGAGCATCATTAATGCCACCATGAAGTGCTAGAGCAAGGGGATTTTTCCCCTACATTCGTAAAATACAGGGGCTAAAATCATGACCTCTCTTGCTCCTCAAATTTGCTTTTCCTAGTTGCTAATAAAGTATCAAAATGTTCGCTTTTGCCCCAAGATAGGAGATCCACCAGAATTTCTTCAAAGTCACATTGAGCTCAGTTTTTTATTCACTTCCCCTTTGGAATATTCTGAGACTGCATTATTTTTAATATTTTGTTGTCATCTTTCAAATTATTCATTATGGCTAAGTACAAGAGCAATCACTCTTAAAAATTGCCCTATAGCCAGAAGAAAAATAGCAGATCTCTTTGGCAAAATCTAATTTGGGAATCACCTCTTTGCCCAACTCATTGGAATAAGATAAAATTGTACCAAGTGGTCAGTTCTTTTTTTTTTAAATTTATCCTTTAGACACCTTTGCATATTCTGGTTATTTATAGCTACTGGCCTATAAATTCACATCTCAAGAGGGAGACTTTTTAAAATAACTGTATATAATTTCATGGATAAGAAGGGACTCAAGATGGGTACTTAAACAAGCTGGCTACATGTAAGTCTCTGGTCTCTCTCCAAAGTGTCATCACTAAGGACTAAAATGTGTATAAAACTTCCTGGATCTCAGCAGCCAGGACAAAGTAGGACAAACCCTACTGAAAGATGCTTGGGGAGAAAGCTCAGCAAAGCATTAAAAGGAAGTACCCAGCAGGGTGCTCAAAGACCTGTGTGCAAGGCACAACAGGTGCCTCTCCCAGCCACTCACAGAGGACCACAAAGGGATCCCAGCATTGCCAATCAAACACAGCACTGCACAGCCAGAAAAATCTCACCACCCGTAAAACTGTGGGGGGCAACGCGCAGGGGGCCAGAGGGAGTTCAGGCGTCCCTGCTCCTCAATCCAAGGCTGAGCCTGAAGCGCCAGCAACCAAGCTTTGCTCCTGCTCCGAAGGTCTGGATTGAGTCTATCCATAAGCATTCTTGGGTGGCGCTCATCCTGACCGAAAAAATAAAAAAACAAAAACAAAAACAAAACAAAACAAAACAAAAAACCCAACGATAGCACAGCAGCCAACGCCTGTGAAAGCTTAGGCAGACTAGATCGTCAGCACGCCACTCGGTGGGGGTTGGGCCTAACTCCCCTACCCCCAGCCCAGCCTGCGACCCCCTGCTGGGGCGGGTCTCTAAGGAGAGGTAACAGTGCCCACCCCTTCCCATTCCCAGCCTTTGCCCTCTTCCCCCACAGAACCACCTCCCCCTGACCAGCTGGAGAGCTTCTGCTTGGCAGTGACCACCTCACCCCCAGCGCGAGTCCTGAGAAACCTCTCCATTTCCACTCGCTTCCTAAAAGCAAAAGTACCGCTTCCACTCCAGCTCATTCCCAATTAGAATCGATTTTTTCAAGGGGGGAGGGGGCGGGCAGTGCTGACCTTGGCAGGTACTTTGGAAGTTCTGAACCCATCCTTTCAGACAAAACGTCTACCGCCGAAAGTTCAAAGGAAAAATAAAATGTAGTCCTCAGGGCTTCCTTCCCAAGCAAACGCTCCCAAGCCACCGCACACCCCTCACAAGCCCCGCCAGGAACTCCGCCACTCCACGCCCCACCACAAACAAAAACGCAATCGCGTGCCCCTCTCGTGCACCCACACTGGAGCTCCCCTACCTAACCCGTTTCTACCCGATTTAGTGCCTGTGACCGCCACATCCACACCAACACCTTCCTCTTCCCAAAATGGGACTCCGGGCGCAAAGGCGATCCGTTCGGAAAAAGACGCGCGGCCGCGCCTTCCGGCAGCTGCGGACCAGCTCTCCTCAAGGCCGCCAGGCGCGGTCCGCCGCAAGTGTGTGAGCGAGTGTGTGTCAGTGCGAACGCGTGCGCTCCTCCAAGCGGTTGGTGCGGGGCCAGGGTCCGACGCGCACTGGCGGCCACCGGCCCGGCCCGATCCGCTCTCCAGCAGGTGTCCTGCGCAGCGCGGCTGCCCCGTCGGCGACCCGCACGCTACCTGCAGCCGCACGCCTCCACCACCATGTCTTCGTATTGTTTGTAGACCACGTTGTTGGCGGCGTCGATGTACAAGATGCTGATGGGGCTGAGGCGTGCGGGCACGCAGCAGGAGGCCGGCGCCGCCTCGGGCGCCATGGAGTTGAGCAACGTCTGGATGATGGCGTGGTTGGTGGGCTCCAGGTGCGAGCGCAGCGGGAAGTCGCAAACGCCCTCGCAGTGGTACGCCTCGTAGTCCAGCGGTGCGATGATCCAGTCGTCCCAGCCCAGCTCCTTGAAGTCGACATGCAGCGGCTTCCGGCTGCAGCGGCTCCGGCCCCTGCGCCCGTGGCCCCGGCCCGCGCCCCCGCCGCTGCCCTGCGGTCCGCGCGTCCCGGTCAGAGCGGTCCGCCGTCGCCTGCGACCACCCAGAACCACCCTGGATGACCCGGAGCCGGGTCCCGGGTCCGGCGGCGGCTCCGCGGTCAAAGAGGCCCCGAGCGCGCGGGCCTGGGCGCGGATCTCCCGGAACAGGCTCTCCTTCTTCTGTGTGCGGGAGGAGACCACCAGCAAGGCTCGTTCCTCCTCGGCCGCTGCGCCTCCACCTCCGCGCCAGCCGAAGCCCAGCAGCCGCACAGCGAGCGGGCTCTTTCCCGGACCCGCCACGGCGCGCAAGAGGAGACAGAAGTCGCGGGTGGCTCGCGCTTCCCGGTGGTGGTCCCGCACGGCGTCGCCCACGTCGAACACCTCCCAGCGCGCTCGGTCCAGGGGCTCGGCGGCTCGCGAGTGCAGCAGGCGCGGGGCGCGGGTGGCGCCCGGGCACGTGGACAGCAGCAGCAGCGGCGGCGGCCGAGTCGCGATGCTGTGCTCGGGCTCTAGGGTCTCGCGGCGCAGCACCCGCAACTCTGCACCTATCACCTCGTCGGCGTCGGGAAGGCTGGACACGTCAAACAGGAAGCTCTGGCCGCTCTCGGCTGCCGAGTCTTCTGCAAGGGCCCGGCGGAGACAGAGGAAAAAAAACAAAAAAACAAAAAAAACATGAGAGCGAAGCCCGCACTCCCCCGCGGCGGAGCCTCTTAGGGCAAATGGCCCAGCTGCATACGCACTTAGCCAGAATAAGGCCTGGTGCCCGTCCCCGAGAGATCGCCGCAGCCTGCCCCAGAGCTCAGGTTGTCAGACGTCTCCCCAACGAGACAGCCAGACATCCACACATCGCCCTGACCGCGGGACCACAGGTTCACTCTGTACCTGGGACCATGACTGCTTGCTAGCCTTGAGTTTGCCGAGATGGAAGTTAGAGGGGGCCTCTAGCAGGCACGGGCATCCGGAGTCGTGCGTCCCTGGCTGAGGTCCCGCGCGGCACTAAGGCCGTTGCCCAGTCCGGGCTGTGCTAAGCGAGAAGGCTCGAGGCCCAACAGCTCTTTGCTCCTCTGCTGCCTGCCTGCCCCCACCTCCACGGCCCCGGTCTCACCTTCCCTGCCAAGCACGGAGCCCTGCGAGTGTCCACAAGGAAGGGCATCCACGCACTAGGCTGTAGGGACCGTCCAGGGAGCCCTGGGGGAGCGGAGGCCCAGATGGGGGCCAGGCTCCCGCACGTTCTCAACCATGCGCCCCGCTGATTGCAGGGGAGCACCCCAGGCTCCCAGGGCTCCAGGCAGTGCCGCCAGGAGTGCAGCGACTCCTGCCTCCAGGGGCCTTCGCTCCGTTGTGACTTTCCTGGGACTTGGATTTTTATTTCTGACCACGAGGCATAGTTTTCCCCCTTTGGGGGCTCATGAGGGGGATAAAACTAAAAACCCACCAAACAACAGATAAGGAACTCCCTTTGCAGGAGATCATATGGTTTCGTTTTGCCCCAAACTCGAAAGATTTCAGCCCCCCCCCCCCCCCCGCCACCCGCACCAGCAGCAGTAGGGAGTGGCTCATGGAGGAAACCCGTGCCTGGGGTTCCAGGTCTGGGTGCAGCGCTGGTGCCCAGGGTGCGGATCGGCAGCACTCCCTGCCCCTGGCTTCTCCCAGGATTCGCTACCTCCTTCCTTGGCAGCAACCCTACAGCACCTGAACCTCTCGCTGCCCCACCAGTGGTCATTGCATCCACCCACAGAAGCAGAGAGGAGAGGTGGGCTCCCCAGCTCTGCTAGGCAGGGAGGGCAGGGCTCCCGGCGCAGGCCCTAGTACCCCGGCAACCTGGAGAGACCCACTCGCCCAAAGGAGATGCCTTATCTGGGACCATACACCCCCTTGGCTCCCAGCTAGGAGCTGGGATGGCAGCCTGGGGCTAAGGCCTTGGGGGACCCTGTGCCACCAGGCCTTCCCAGCGAGCATCCCAGTGAGTGTCAGACCCTGGGAGAATGCTTAGCAGGCCTAGGGGAACCATGGGCCTGCTTGGGCCCAGGATTTCCTGGAACGCAAGATGAGGCGGCATCAGGAGTGCGGTGGTGGCGGGGCGGACAGTTTGGTCTAGGCATGCCCCCTGCAGCGTTCCAGGGCTGGAACTGGAGGTGTGCAGGCGGCTCGCTCGTGGCCCGCCATGCCGAGTCTGTCTCAGACCCCCAGCGCTTATTCTCAGCTGGATGTGCCTTTCTTTCCCTCCCATCTTTCCCGCTGGGTCGCTGGCTGGACAGAATTAAGACCGAAATTACTTGCATTTCCTCCTGAAATTAGTTAAAATTTCCCTATCTGTTCGCTATAATGGCTTCAATGGAAATTAATAAAATCCAGATGACACACAGCAAACATCATGCGGCCTCACTCACGTCCTACCTTTGGAGGGCCCAGAGCGGCAGGGTCTCTCCCCGCCGTCCAAGCCTGCCCACACACGGGGCCTGCGCCTCCGGCTCTCCCAGGGGCCCAGGGCAGGGACAGGAGCCTGCATACCTCCACAAACCAGCCGTACCTACCCAGCCGCAGCCTGCTGAGCAGGGCCCCTCATGCCTACTGATGCCAGCAGATTCTCCTAGTCATGCAGCCTGACGCTGGTCTCTGCCCAACTGCCCTGGGCTCTCCCTAATTGATACGGCCCCCACATCAGTTAGAGTCTGGGAACTTCGAGGAAGCAGCCCCCACCACTATCAGCGTTGCTAATCGCTTTCTCAGCGCGACCCTCCAAAGTTCCCACCCCTGCCCCTCTTCTCTGAGAGCTCTGGGCCCTGGGCAACTCCAGATCCTCCCCGCAAGAGACAGCGGGGACCCTCTGGCCACCGGGGCCGGGCAAGGGACTCGCTCAGCCTTCCCGAGCCGGGACGGGTGTAAGACGCCGCGCTCTCCCCGCGCGCCAACGTCCAGGCGCGGCAGGTCCAGTCCGGGGGCGCTGGCAGAAGCGAGGTGCTTTAGTAACCACTGAGGCTAGGGACGGCGGGGACTGCGGTCCTGAATGAGATGCAATCGGAGCCCGGCTCCGGGAATGCTGGTCTGAGCCCAGGCCCCGACGGGACTGGCGCGGGGCAAGAGTTCATGAAGTACCTTGGGTGGCCCGGTCTGCAAAGCCGGTGATGGTGTCGGCGCGGCTGTGGCCCGAGACGGAGGCGGCGGTCACTCCGGCCTGAGCCCTCCCGGCCAGGCTCCGGTAGAGCGACATCATGAAGCGGTGCGGCACCACCGAGCCGTTCCTGAAGCTTGAGCCGGCGGCGCGGCGCTCAGCGCGGGCCCGGGGCACCGAGGCGCCCGGGACGGCCGAGGCGCCCGCAGCCGGGCCGAGGGTCCCCCCGCCGCCACCGCCGCCACCCCGCGGGCTCCGGGCCGGCCCTGCCCCCGCCGCCCGCAGCACGGCAGCCGCTTCGAGCCCGTCGCGAGGGCGGCAGGCGCTCAGCAGCCAGAGGCACAGCGCGGCGGCGGCGCTCAGGTCCATGGGCTCCGAGGGCCGGGCGGCCGGGCGGCGCGGGCTCCGTGGCTCCGGGAAGTCCCCCGGCGCCTTTTGAACATAGTGTTTAATAATGGGGGAAGTGTGCGCGCCGAGCCGCGGCCACCCCACCCCCCCTCTCCCTGCTTCTCCCACCCCACCCCACCCCCGCCCGGCGCCTGGAGCAGCGCCCCCTGCTGAAGGCTCTCTGGGCAGCGCCGCGCCCCCATCCGCTGGCCTCGGGCGAGAGCAGGGCGCAGCCGCCTCCCCGGGCCGCCCTGCGCCCGTGCGCCCCGCGTCCCCGCGCCCGTGCGCCCCGCGTCCCCACGCCCGCGGCGCCCGGCTGCCAGCCCGCTCCCTCGTGGGGACGCCTGAGGTGGGGCCGTGGAAGGGGGCCGCCAGCCCGTGGCCGGCGCGCCCCTAGAGGCCGCCAGGGCAGCGAGGGGCACCCCCAAGGCCGCTCCCCGCGCGGCCATCCCACGGGAGGGGACTCGCAGGCGAGAGAAACTGGAAGAAGGTCCTCCTGCCGTCTGGGAGGAAAGCTTGGACGTGGAATTTGCGCTACCGCCGGGACCAAGCTCTTCGAGGATGTCGGCCGCAGCGCCAAGCAGCCCTGAGGTGACCAGAGGACTCCCCCCCACGGTGGAGCTCCGTGTTCGACCGCGGCCGCAGGTGGAGTCCTCCTGCCCGCCCTCGGAGCGCCCACCCGCAGCCACCCGATGCCGTTCTGCTCGGCAGTGGCTGGAGCCCCCAGGTGGCGCCCCCGGACTTGTTTCTCCCAGAGCCGTCGAGCAGTGCGCAGTGCGGTGAACTGGAGACCCCGCGGGGGTGAGGCCTCGGCGCGCGTTCGCGGCCCCCATTGGGTGTCGAGCCGTGGGGTGGCGTGGGAGCCAGGATGTGCAGGGCCGAGGGAGGGGGCGGGAGTGGGATCATCTTGGAACCCTCAGTTCTAGAGTCCACGCGCGGACGTTACGCACAACCTGGAGGAGGGCCCTTAACTGGGATAAACACGTGCGGATCTAGACCCTGGAGCTGTCCCTGGAGCTGTGAGTTCTTTGAGAGGGATCAGTGTAACCCGACGCCCCGGATCCAGAGCCGGTTGGATCCTGGCGCGCTGACCCACAGAGCGGGAAGGAGGAGCTGTGGGAGCTGGCTGGCAAGGGCGTGGAGGGAAACACCTGAGCCCTGAGTCCCCGGGGGGCACCGCCACGTCGTCCCTAGCGAAGTCTTCCTTAAGGATGAGCATTTGGGAACCCCTGCGGGGATGCGACGCCCTCCCAGCCGGTAGCTGCGACCAGAGCTGCGGCCCCGCTCAGTCCTGGGAGAGGTTTGGGGCTGGAAGAAGTCAGGTTGACCCCAGGGCGGGTCCAGTGCGCGGAGGAGAAAGGTGAGAGAGGGCGGGGCGCGAAGGACTGATGCCCTGGCCAGGCTGCAGCGCTGCGACCCCAAGGGGCTCCTGGTGCCCAGGGCTCGCGCCATGGGGGCGTGGCCATGGTGCGCTAGATTGAGCCCACAGCCTCAGCACGCCCTGCCTTTGGCATCGAGGTTGAGGCGTGTGGCGCAATGTCTTGGTCACGCGCGTCCCTCTCCTGGTGCTGGCGTCTGCAGGAACCCCCGCAGGCCGGTTGTCTTGCCGCCCTAGCGACCTTCCATAGTCTCGCTCGATCCTTTTGCGCTGCAGCCACTCGCGCCTGGCTCTAGGCGGCACTTAGGACCTCTACCTTTGTCTGGATTTGAGGTTCCGCAGCTGAACCTGCGGGAGAAAGAGTAGGTATGAGCGTGGTTTGACACAGCAGGCGACAGGCGTGGGTTACAAGACAGCCTGGACAGTGGAGGGATGAGTGACCGGGGTGGCTCCTGTTGTCTGCCACCCAGCTCCGCGAAGAGAAGACCTAATGCCCTCACCTGTAGCGAGCAGGCGGGTGCAGCGGAAGCTCCCTGGGCTCCCCCTGTGCCCAGCGGCCCGGAGAGGTTGCCTGTGTGCAGGAAGCTCCTGTACACAGTGCTGGGAGTGGATCGATCCTGGAGCTGCTGTCCACCAGCGTGCCCAGCCAGGCCCTCCCCTACCTGCCACTTGTCACCTGTAATGGAAGGGCATTTGTCTGTAGTTGCTTCATCCAGCCCTTAATTCCTTCGTTCATGTTGACACTCCCGGCTGCTCTCCCAGGCATTGTGCTGTCTGCAGGACACACACACAGGGCATTCCTGTGGACGGAAGAGACAGCGAACAGTCAACCCAATGTGCTGTCAGGTGACTCTGAATAAAGTGGGGGAACCACGCCTGGGGGCTTTTTGCAGAGTACACACTGGGGCCAAGCCCAGGAAGGAGGGATGCTGGCACTGTGTGGGGGTCCCTGTTTTAACCCTTAAGTACCAAGAGGAGGCGGTGTCAGACCTGGGGGGCAATCTGTTGTAACTACTCTGGCCACTACAGAGGAGGCATCAATCCCACTTTATAGGCAAGGAAAATCGAGTCTCGAAGAAACTCAGCAGTTTACCCACAGTCCCCGGCTGGGTGGCAAAGCCTGCATCGCCAGCTGGCTATGCCCGAGAGACAGGAGTGCCAGTAGAGACGTAATCCTGCCTCGCCTCTGGACCTCTGAGAAAACTAACATAAAAAACCATGATCACTCCTATTTTTTATTTGTATTTATTAAAGAAGGAGAAAGGAGAGACCGAGGGCTCCCGTCTTCCTGCATTGCTGCAATGACCAGGATCTGCCGGACTGAGGCAGAGAGCTGGGAACTCAGCCGAGGTCTTCATGTGGGTGCCCAGGCACCCAACTGCTTGAGCTATCACCTGCTACCTCCCCTCCCCCCCGGGTTTGCACTAGTGGGAAGTTGTAGTCAGGAGCCCGAGCTAAGTCTCCAAGTACCCCAGTGTGCAGTACCCCTGGTGAAGCCAACCATCTGCTCCCTCACTCGGCAGGGAAGTGAACTTCCAGGCCCCAGGGAAAATGAGACACGCTCCCGGAGGACTGCTTGCTGGCACTGCTGCCTCACGGAGTTCACACCACCTGTCCTGGCATGCAGTCTCTCCGACCAACAGCAGGGCCTGCCCATGACCCAGGCTGCCAGGAGCCCTGCCCAGGACTTCCTGAGGTCTGTGGCTCAGCATCCGCTGTCTGCAGTGAAAATGGCACAGGTGGCACCAGGAGCTCACTACCCCTTGCTCTGTGCAGCTCAAGCCCTCCTGGGAGCAGGTGGCCCTTGCTGGCCTGCTGTCCAGCACAGCTCAGGCCTGTTTGAGTGCATCCCTTCTAGGGTGCAGGGAACTGTTGGTCCAAAGGTTGATCAGGATAGAGGTGACACTCCCAGCCTGGAGATGCAGAAGCTGAGATCCACAGCATGGGGATCCTTCCATCTTGCGGGGGCGGGGGGCTCAGATGAAAGGAACGGCACTCAATGCACTGGGGCTCCAAGATCCAACTGGGGTCCTCTACCCCTCTGACAGACACCCTGAACCCCCAGGACCTGTGTTCCTGGAAGAGAGAAGAGGTGAGGAGGGCTCCACTCTTGGCTGTCCAGCCCTCTCCTGCGACTCCAGCGGCTTTCTCTGCATACCACAATCCCAATGCAGATCACACACTCCTGGGACCCAGAGGTGGTCTGGGGGTCACTCTGGCCGACTTGGCATGGCCCGCCTGGGTCCAGACCAGTTCTGCCTGGGCTACGCTTGCATCCCTGAGGGCTTGGGGAGCTCTCTCCAGGGTGGCATCCCATAGCTGCACCTGTGGGATTCCACCTTATTCACAGATTGCTTTCTTGCAGGGCGCATCTCTGCCACCCTGGTGGGCATCACTCAAGCCTTGTGCAGGCTCTCCTTGCCGCAGCTGGACACCTGCTGGCCCCCCATGCTGACAGCAGATCTCAAGGATCTCTTGGAGATGGCCTGCTTGCCACCCCACAGGAAGCCACGTTTGCCACCTGGCCTCTCAGCCCACACAGGGCCGGGGCTCCCCCTGTGGGATGCTGGGCTCTGCCTAGGGCACCCTAGAGGTGAGGCAGGGTGAGGGTCAGCCTCCCATGCCGTCTGCTTTGCAGCTGCTGGGCCCCTGAGGCTCCACTGCACTACAAAGTCAAGAGGCCCGAGACTGCCAACCCTGCCTCCCCGCTGCCTGCTCTGCCTGGCTTTCAGTCCACTGAGGGCACCCAGCCAGGGGCCCCTTCTGCATCTGGAACCACCATGGTCTCAGAGGTGGAGAGAAGAGTGAACAGGGCTCTGGGTGAGGGCTCCCATGGGGAAGCCAGCACAGCTGCCCCTGCCTAAGGGAGTGCCACTGGCTGGACCAAAGATGTACTGCTCCTGTCTACAGAGCTGGGGGGATTCCAGTGGGCTCTGGCTCAGCCCCCTGCCATGCCCTGAGCTGGGATTCCTCAGGCTCAAGGAATTTCCCATGCTCAACCCATGTCTGTCCTGGGCCCCTGTTGCCCCGAGCAACAGCTGTGGCATCCACAATGGGGTCGCTGTAACTCTGGCCCCAGGCCACTGGACCCGGCCTGCTCCTATACCCCAGGCCATGGGACAGGGAAGGGGAATTAGCCAAGAAGAAGGGGAAAGAGTCCGGCAAGCTTTTTAGAGGAACACCTCAGTCCTTGGGTTTGGAACAAATGGCAGTGAGCTGGGAGCCACTGCCATCTGCTGGTCACTACTTGTAACAGCATCGCAGTGTGGCTGAACTTGCTGGCTAGAATTCGACCTGAACGGTTAGGGAAAGAGCTCAGGAATGAGTTCCCAGGACTCTGCAGGTGAACAAGCCTTCCTGGGGCTGTAAGGTGTCCTAGGGAGAGCATAATGCAAGGATCACGTGTCTCCGTGGGGGCCAGGAAGAAGACACCAAAGGACCCAGCTTCCAAGCCATGCTTGTACTGCACCTGTGCTGAGACCAGATGCAGTCCGTCATCCTGTCTCTTCAGCAGTGGGACAAGGATGCATGCCTGTCAGCGGCGGACAGGAAGGCACAAGAAGTACAGCAAGTAAAGATTGCGGCAGCCCTTGGCTTAGCAAAT